CATCTGCTCTGGTAAGTCTTGCTCTTCTGCTTCGCTCCCCGCTGAGGTGCGGGCACGCCGCGGGCGCGCGCTCTGTCACTGCATCTGCCAGGCTGCAGTGCTGAGCCTGGCTGGCAGCAGGGGGGCTGGTATCCTCGACTGCATCCGTTTGTTACACTATCGGTCACTGGGACAGAGGGTGATAAAATACACAGGCACAGGAATGCTTTTTTTTTTAAATGAATTTTTTTAAGAAACTGCGTACATCAGAGACAAACAATAATTTAAATACCATGCAGTTTCAGTATGTACAAAAACTAGGACATAGAGATCCAGTTTAATTTTCTTCTAGTTATTTACATCGTTTTCATACAGCCATAATCTGTTAAATTACAATACTGGAAGAGCACATGATTGACAGCCACCACACTCACTCCTATACAAAGACAAACTATATACATACACTTGGATATCAACTGGAAAATGCGACTGGTGCAGGAGTAACTGGGACACATGGGAATGCAGGTAATGTGCCCGTCACCTCCTCTTTGTGTACAGAAGTTGTTCCAAGCTTGAGCAGACTGAACACCCGGGAAAAATCATTTGTCCCCTTTTTCTTTCCTGATTTTTTTTATTAGCCTAGTCATCTCCCATGGCTATTTATACAAAGTGATTTTATTTGCAGGCACGTTAAGGAGCCCCCGTTCACGTGTAACTATGGGCTTCCACCTTGCCCATTTTTTTTGAGAGTGCAAGCTTTCACTAGGCATGTTGGAAGTGCTCCCCCTCTGTTGGTTTATAGTGTTTCCACTGTACAGACGGCACTGTAGAAGTAACGCAGGGTGAGTTTGGTGACTAGTTGCAGTGATGACGAAGTGCTGTGGTTACATGTAAGTATTGGGCTGAAATATATTTGTGTAATGGGCTCACTAAATAGTTTCAGTTAACGTAAAATAGTTAGAAGTCTATTATATTCTCCCCCCCTCCTTCCTTCTCTTCTGGTAAGTGCGCACTAGGAATTCTCTAGACACAAAAGCTGACCTAAGCCCCATCCCAGCAAACCTGCAGCCTGGAACTTCTTCAGCTTGCAAGTACCTAACCAGCGGGGCGTAGGGTGGGGAAAGGCCACAGCGCTGACCTTCCCTGTTAGTCGTAAATACATCGCCAGGTCCCTAGAGCCCGCTGCTGGCGAGGCTGTGGGTGGGAGGGCGATGCCACCATCGTGTGTCCTCACCGTCACATTTTTTTCAAACAATCAAAACGTTTGTCTAGACGCTTTGGACTTGCTTTTCCAATCCTCGCCGCCTCCACAGCCCTCCCTGTTTTCCACCTCATCTTTCCTTAGGCTGTAGAACAGATGTCACATAGAACAGATGTCACAATACTTGCACGTTTTAAGTATGAATAGCCCATCAGGATTCAGTAGATTATAACCAAAATGTTTTTCTTCCTTGACTCTAGAATATTATCTCCGTTATAAGCCCTGGGGATGGATGATTGGAGTAGCCATTTTTGTTCTGCGTTAATTTTTCCATTCTCTAAACCTGATGTAATTTCTTTATTACTGCTATTAATCTCCTCCTAATATGAATGAGGATGACTGGTGTTAACTGCGGT